AAAAAAAAAAAAAAAAAAAAACGCGTTCTGTTTTTTTCTTCTTCATTTTTTCTCGTCGACAGCCCAACCCCCCCAACCAAAAGTTATGTTTTTTTCTTTTTTTTKTGTGTGGGRRGGTGGGGCCGTGGATGYGCCGCCCAATCGCGCTTYCCGAATCCCGAAACCCCCTCCCCCGTGGTCGCCACGTGGCGTCAAAGCCGCGCGTMCGCGGGGTCGGCGGACTGSTCGCGTCCGCAGATTTGGCCGCGCTTAGCCGCCGCCGAGGGGGATTCATAGGTCAAATGGCCTGCGGTCACGACAGCGGGTGATACATAGGAGGAGATAGTTGCGTACAGATGTAGTGTAAATTGTTAYWRGCGGATCCTCTAGTSAGTACAGCAAGGACACTTCTGAGTTAGTCTTGCTGAGAGACTCTCTCATCAGGTCCTTCTTTTCTAACWRGGATCAGCGCATTCTTCCTCTCGAGAATCAAGTGTGTGCATCGACYGCAAGGTTGATAATTTGACAACAGGCCTTGATTCCCTGACAGCTAGYGTCAACAAAATTTTGCAGSATCCGCAACTTCCTATCCCTTCTCCCCAACCTCTCCAATCTGTAAAAAGGKATGGTTCATCATCCCACAGTCGTCCAGCTTCACCTGTTGGTTCTCATGTGTCCACTTCCTCTGCTCCTTCTAGACTCTAGTACATCAAATCAGCGGCAGCCCAAGCTGACGCCACCCCCCATGTATTYTGCGGAAGACCCCAAGGTGGACGTTTCAGATTSGGTTACTGCGATGCAAGCATAYYTAGGCAACTTCATTTGTCCAGAAGCAACAAAGGTAGGAACGATTCCGGGGCGTTTAGAGAGGACTGCACCGAAATGGTGCACATCCTCTGCAACTAAAYATAATTTGCCCGTAGACAAAAAGGCACAACAGCTGAAAGTSGAGGGGTTGCTGCAGGCATTGCGAGACCGGTTCACAGACAGAGAGCAGGTCCGTAAAGCATCAGATAAGATATTGTTGTTGGGCTCACGCAGGTTTGAGGGCTCTCTRTCTAAGCTCTAYAGTCTGTTTGARAGTTTGACAACTACACCCGGTTTGGAGATKAGTGAGTCTCACCAGCTCACTCACTTCCTTCGTGCACCGCCACCAGACTACTCAATTGCTCTGTACTCTCAGGGCCACAAGAACTGGAGGTCCTTTGGCAAAGCGGCCTTGGACCTGGAGTATCGGCTCAAGGTTCAGGAACCTTCTGAAGAAAGGAGGAYGCCCTCCTCCAAGKAACAGCGTAGSAGGAAGGGCGCTCTATTGGCGGCTGATGCAGAGTGTGATTCTGATGCATCTCAGCGTGGCAGTCCTCCAGCTGAGAGTGCAACAGTATCGGCAACTAAGTAAGTCGTTCTTGCCCTGGGTAAGAATCTTGCTGCAATATTCAAGGGGAAGCTTGGTAGCAAGAGCTCAACCAGTCAGAAGGGGAAAGGGAAAGAATGTGCCACTTCCCCTCAGGCCCAGAGACCCAATTTGCCACGAGACGTCCATTGGCCAGTTAACCCCATGGATCCTTCCACCCTTCCCTGTAGAGCGCTCAGGATCCAAGAGGGGCAGTGACAAAGGAGGAAGGACCACAGTGTTGCCGCGTGTTCATTGAATGCGGGTTCCGCGTTAAAGTTTTGAACACATTGAATGCGCGTTCAAGGAACGCAGGTGAACGCTCTAAACGAGAACGAGCAGAGCATCACCATCGCATGGGAGGCCCGTCGGGGGTGCTGCGTTGGGGTGGCAAGTCCCGACGACCCACCTGAGCGCGGATAGGGTTCGCCCCGTGTCCCAAAAGTGCCCCCCAACAAAAAAAAGAAAAAAAAAGGGCTTGACAGGGGCCCGACGGTTACAAATGACGCGCATGGGCCATTTAGTCGGCACTCAATGCTGGAGTCCGCGTTCACACGCTGGCTGGGTTCATTCAAAAGCGGCGCGGAGAGAGAGAGAGAGAGAGAGAGAGAGAGAGAGAGAGAGAGAGAGAGAGAGAGAGAGAGAGAGAGAGAGAG